CCTCAGTATGGGTGGCTGATACCTCAACCGATATTCGAAACAAAGACTCTCAAAATACAAGTCTAGAACGTTACCGCATCTCGAATCTCCTAGATACGATGGATATGCAAAATAAATTTACTCTAATAAAATTCTGAACTTGCTACTTTGAGGCTCCTTCAAGGCCATGGCATAGTTTTCATATCAGTAGGGCCAACTGTCTCTTGTTTCGGTGCTAGTGACATGCAATGCAATTACAGCTAGAGGGCTGGGAACATGGCAACGGTTCAGTATTTAATTGAAAACTGTTTATGATGATTAGCAAATGATAATCATAACATGTCTCCTTATAGTCGCCACTCGCATATGTCATAGATCAAATATTTATCTCTGGGAGTGCTAATACGGGGGACATTGGCCGGACTTGGTGCTATAAGAGGCGACTAACCGCGTTCCATAAAAAAAAGTAAAGGTATCTCTGTAACAGGCCGTGGAGGCCCACAGGGTTGTAAGATGTTGAGGTTACCACATTTTCTAGACAATCGGCTCATAGATGGCGGCAAGGTTGTCAGCCCTACGCGCCGGCCGCCCTTTACCCTCAAGAATATTCCAAGAATATTCCTGGTACTCATTTCTGTTAGAGGCTGAGACGACCCCAGGGTCATAGTGCGGCTGGAAGGATTAGGTAAATTGGAAAAATCCAATGACCTCATCGGGACTCGAACCCGCGACCTTTCGGCTTGTAGCATAGTGCCTCAACCAACTACGCTACGTTCCATTCCCTTAATAAAACTTATTGCTCCCTGTAGCAAATGTCCCATAATCTTTTTTGTAATCTGCTTAACGACGTTGTCAATAACTAAGATTACATAGTGTCGAATGGCCGGGTGCTGGCTAAGAATATGGTAAAAAATTTATCGCTTTTTGTGGGATCACAAGTTCAGTGCGGTGATCGCATAAGCTCGCATATTATAAACTATGATACAGATAAGCTAATTCTGATCTTCTGGTTTAGTTTAAGGAATTATTGCACATAAATTTGTTCTATAATGTCAATTCTATAATTGTTCAATTGGTTATTTTGCGATTCTATGAAAATTTATCATCTCTGATATTACGTAGCGCCAACTGGAATAGCAAAACAAAAAGCAAACTCCATGATTTTAGTCCGCAAGCGAACTATACCGACCCAGCGACCGTCGCTTATTGGCGAAGTTAGTGCCAACTTTTGCGGATAGAGGGTTATTTACGCAAAAGACGAAGGTAAATTATGAACTGGAAGAGAGATATAGGAGCTAACAGCAATGTGTCATTTTAAGATAACGCATTTGGGCAAATCCCCATTGGCCTTTCATGGAATTCGAATGTTCATTACCGTGTTCATAAAAGCCATCAACTCATCCCTATCCTGAGCAAGACAATTGCAGCCTACATCCTCAAAATGCGCTTCTCTAAAATACATTTTAATATTGACCTTCCATCCATGCCAAGTCTTTTCTCGTCATGTTTTCCCAGATCTTTCTTGAGGGACTAAAGAAAAGCTTGAAAAAATGTAATATGTTAGTTGGTCTACATTAAGATCTGAAATTCATATATTGTTAAGGTGAGTCAATAGCGCTACCGCTGTGATCACCCATTCGGTGAATCAATATTAACGGGTATGGGGTCACAACAGGTAGAAATATATTAAGGGTTTAGGACGTGAGAACTGATAATTTCATATCTCTGAAATATGAAAATAATATATGACGTAAGTACCTACTTCCACTTTACTGCATTACGAAATTCTATTTTACAATTGGCGTCTCGGGCATGCCATGCGTGAACAAGTATCGAACTGTTCGCAATCCAACATCCTATCGCTGTGAGTAGAAAGTTAAACAGGTATATTACTGATCGAACGAATAAGAACGACGTTCTTAAGCTCTGTATACACATCACAACATAAAACACACTACCTGTTGACATAAATATTATAGTATTTCAAAACTGTTTTTTAATAACAAAGTTAATAGAAAGTCCGGCGAGTGTAACTATTAACTTTATTATTGATAGTATAACGGACCAAAATGAAACAATTAAAAAAAATGTTTTGTAATAAATTTGTCAGCAACTGACACCAAGATGCAGAGCTACTTCTAGGGTGAGAAAGTTTACGGGGAAAATTTTTAATAATATCCTCAGTTAACATGTCATTTATGATAATGTCTTTTGATCATACAATTATGAAGTTAATAAAATTGCTGAAGCTGTATTACACATATATATAATCTTTGCTATTATTCGCTCTTCCTTGTGACTTACAGTGATCCTCACTCCTTTAGATAGTATATAATAATAACACTAACGTATTTTTATGTGTAATTAAAGCCCATTTAAAAAAAAATTCGCGCTTTGAGATACGTGTTAATTGTAAATTTTGTGCGCTTATTCTATTGTATAAAATTATATTACGTCTCGACAATTTTCTTTCTGTCACCCTGCATTTTCTAGATCCCATGTACATTTTATAACATACAAAAATTTCTATAATCATCGTTATTTGTCTCCCTTTCGCTACCAGGCAATTGTTTAATGCATAAAGCGATCACAATATAACGTCACTGCCCTAAATAACACACGTGACGTAATATTCCTTCGTTTATATAGTCAGATAAATATAAGCAAAGCAGTGTTTGTTTCTTACTGTGCTCTAACTTTTATGTGCCACTCGAGTTGTTACGGATGACTCGCTCTTTCTGTTGTGTGTGAAGGGGAACATTAACTATTTCAATACAATTTATTTTAGAAGGAACTTGACGAACAACTGGCCCTCTCACCGGCACAATGGTATAGGCCAATATAATAAATTTAATTGTTATTGTTATTATTATTGTTCCCATCCTTATTATGAACTGGAACTTCTAACTTACTTCCGTGAGGTATGGAGAGCGGCAAACATCTGTTTACAACTGCTACTCGTGTAGCTGTAGGGGGCACGCGGTAGCGTAGTTGGTTGAGGTACTATGCTACAAGCCGGAAGGTCGCGGGTTCAAGTCCTGATGAGGTCATTGGATTTTTATCAACTGACCTAATCCTTCCAGCAACACTATGGCCCTGGGGTCGACTCAGCTTCTAACAAAAATGAGTACCAGGAATATTCCTGAGGGTAAAGGGTCGCCGACGCGTAAGGCTGACAACCTTGCTGCCATCTATGAGCAGACTGTCTAGAGAATGTGGGAACCTCAACATCTCACAATCCTGTGAGCCTCCACGGCCTGTTACAGGGATACTTTTACTTTTTTACTTTTACATACTTACTCGTGTAGCTATAGTTTTTGTAGGTACAAATATATCAAATTACGTCTTGAGGTTGGAGCCAGGATACCGGAGTGGTCGTAGCGACTGGCTAAGGGCTGGACTACATAGGGGACGGACTTCGAGTCCAGGTAGGGTCAAGAATTTTATCTTCCCCACGTTGTCCAGACCGACTCTGGGGTCCACCCACCCTCCTATCTAATGGGTAAAGCGTCCGGAGCGTGAAACAGACCACTCACCTCTAACTAGTTCCGAGGTCAAGAGGGTATGTATCTATATATCCACTCCCCCATACGCCTTCATGGCATAGTACTTAATTGGGTAAACACAGGGACAACTTTAACTTTTTGACCTTTTAAGTCTTAAGATTTGTGCCAAAATGTGGTATTAAACCGATTCATATACAAGACAAAAATGGTAAATTTATCCCTGTGTTTAACTAAACATCACGCCATGAAGACGTATGGGGAGTGGAGGAAGAGTTCCACGCAATCTTAACCTCAGTATTAGGTGGATGTGAATGGGCAGCTTGACGCTCCAGTCGCTTCGCCCTTGGGGCAAGAAACCCCTGTATCAGCCGGATAAGGAGCTGCGTGGGTCTCAGAGCCAGTCTGGACGCTGTCTCTGGGGCCTATCCTGTGCCCCATTTCATGGTTGTTTTCAGTTTTGGTTAACGACTTGACGGATATGTTCGGGGATTAAGATTAGCTCGACCCATTGGATCAAGCAGAGTTTCACACTTTCATGTGATGACGGAGGCAGAGTCAGCCTCAGAAATATTTTAATTTTTTAGCCAAAACAAAAACGAAGGAAAATGTCCTATGCAAGTTTAATGACACTAGCGTCTCTGGTCAATTTATATGCCCCTTTCTTTGTAAATAACACAACCAATTTGTAAATGATATGGTTTACAAAAAAACCATGTCAATCTATCACGACTATTCTGTTCACAAAACACGTACGTACTGGGTAAATGGAAACACTGATTATAACGTTCGGCTCTTCAACAGGTCACTCGAAATTACCGCGTTGTTTCTTGTACCCAACGTTTCGTATCAGATAGGTTTGAACGCCATTAGATTACTGTACTCAATGTCGCTGTGAAGAGTTTGAAATATGTCGGCGTGTAACATGGAGCGTCAGTACAAAGGCCGGAACGAGATAAATGACCACTGAAAGAGCAAATTTACAGTATTTTCTTTTTGCCTACTAGAAATTCTTTTCCGCCATTTCCTTGCTCGCATCATAACATTAGTATTAATATTAACATATTATTGAGCTCTATAAATGAATATTTCCATCAAGTATCTGACAATTAAGTATGAAAACTTTTTTAGAAATTCGATCTGTTTGTAACCTGGGGGGGAGTACAGTATTTATGCTTGAGCGGCCTTAGGTCACTGTTGAACTGAATACATGGCACTATCGTAATTAAGAAGAGCAGCTAATTCTGATTATGGATTTTGCAAACATTTCAGTTTACCAGAGTGCAGATGTGTAGGCTAATTTATAATTTCGCAGATATAAATACATTTTTTAAATGAAATTCTACATATTTCATATCTTCACATTATTAGAAACTCACTGCCGGGAACCCACTTTGTGAAAATACGCAACCTCCATTAATTAATAATATTAAATTGTTTGAGATCTTGCAAACCGTTGATGATTACGTGTGTGAGAGTTTTGTATCGTCAACTGTTAAAATTATAGAAAGAACTCACCCCAACTTTTTCCAGTCCTTCCCAAAATCTGGCGCGTCTCTGGGTTCCATAATTCCCTCTTCCAACTCTCAATCAATCCTCTCTTCTCCGGTCGGACATACGGGAACTCGTATACGTCATCCTCCTCTACACTTGTCATGGTTCCTGTACAAAGGCCGGTTTCCGACTGACGAGCGGGGCAGATACTGTTGCAAGTATATCGGCTGTTTGCCTTGAGGCTTCACAGTACACCACACGGTATCAAGTCCTAAAGTACGGGCGGATCGCTCCGGATATATCTAGTCAATTATCTGAAACAACATTATTCTAACACGAAATTCCCACGAATGGTTCACTGTATCACATTAACATATGAAGGCTTTTTAAGCACCTGCCACTTAAGCACTTAGTCACGTGAGGTGGGAGGGAATATTTTACCCCTTCGAATTGGTCTTGCTTCAAACTGATTGGTTCACAACACTTTGACTACCAACAAACAGAGAATTCCCCGAAAGTATCATTGGTGGACAAATTCGACAACACGCAGCACATAAAATGTATTTTTAACAATTCTCAACGTAAAGCACTCAAAACAAACCGAGACTTAGCCTTCTGCTACAACACATCCTTTAATATTCACAGTATGAAACAGACTACGCAGAAAATAGTAATTAAATCCATTATGTTCGAAAGAAATGTCAGAACAAAGATAAAATAAATTTATTTTGCTATTTGTTTTCGTGTAGAGACCTTCTTAATAAATGGATATGGTTAATAAAGGCAGAGAAACTGTAACACAACAATATGCTTTATTCATAGTCGTCTTTCATATTTTCCATTCCCATATACGGCTGTATACTACTTAATGGACGTCAGCTCAAGAATATGGCGTGTGTGGATGTGATCCGGTTGACTAATATCAATATTTCTTTCATGTTTCCGAGTTCACATCCTCAGCACTATTCGTCTTTCACGTTATTTGTTCTGAAACTATGCGCTTATGAAGTTGTCACTATTCCTCTCAGGCACTTGCAGTTAAGTGGTACATTTTCCAGTCACTGTCAACACGTAGCGTGTACACAATTCAGACTGCTTATTGAGTTGTTTTTCAGCTTTAAATGATTTTGTCCTCAAGAGATAAGGTGCTGTGACGCATGCTCGTTTGCCTTCTGGGCTGGTGTAATTAGTCATCCCACGCTGCTCTCGGTCTTGTCTAAAAGTTCTAGTTTTCAATTGCAAATAAACTGCCTTGACAATGGCATCTAAACGTCTAAGTTTTCTGTATTTTTAATCCGTTTTCAACAACATGAAATATTTACATTTCAGAACGCAAATAGAAATTTTTAACACTATACAGTCTCGTCCGAATTGAGGGACAAGCTAGTTTCAGCAACTCTCTGCCCCTCCTTGTATGTCGGTCCTGGAATTATCCACTCAACATATTTTCTGTTCCTTGTTATGTAAATTCTGAAAATGTGGCACAGTTCAGATTTGGGAACGACGATAACAAATCGAAACCTGTTCAGGAGGAAATTAAGGGGAGACTGAACTCGGGTAATGCTTGCTACCATTCAGCCCAGAACCTTTTGTCTTCCCGTCTGCTGTCAAAAAACATAAAAATTAGAATATACAGAACTATACTTTTGCCTGTGGTCCTGTATGGGTGTGAAACTTGGTCTCTGACATTAAGGGAGGAGCATAGACTGAGGGTGTTTGAGAATATGGTGTTGAGGAGAATATTTGGACCAAAGAGAGATGAAGTGACGGGAGGTTGGAGAAAACTGCATAATGAGGAGCTTCATAACTTGTACTCTTCTCCAAGTATAATTAGAATGGTCAAGTCAAGGAGGATGAGGTGGGCAGGGCATGAAGCATTTATGGGGGAGAAGAGGAACGCATATATGATATTGGCGGGAAAACCAGAAGGAAAGAGACCACTGGGAAGAATATGGAGTAGGTGGTTGGACAATACTAAAATGGATCTTAGAGAGATAGGATGGGATGGTATGGACTGAATTGACCTGGCTCAGGAACGAAACCAGTGGAGGGCTCTTGTGAACACGGTAATAAACCTTCGGGTTCCATAAAATGCTGGGAAATTCTTGAGTAGCTGCACACTTGGCGTCTCCTTAAGAAGGGCTCAACTCCATGAGTAAGTAAGTAATGTTACGTAAATTTGGCAGTTAAAACGGCGTCGTTATATAATTTTATGAACAAAGGAATGAGTTGTTGCTGTTCGGTAGTTTGGAATCTACTGTTACGGAAATCTAATTATGCTAATATGTACGGACATTTGGTTTTACGCAGTCGAAACTTAATTACGATGAAGTTTCATTTAAATTCGGGATTGACCTTGGTGTTACATTCGTTTCAGGGATTGGCTTTATTTACATTTCGTAGGACTCTAATCCCTTCTTCAGAAATTTCCGTTCGTGTTCATGTATTGCTTGGTTAAATTGCAGATAGGCCTATCACTTTTTATAAATACTAATTGATCTATATTCTTTGAAATAGATATGAAAAAATTCATACCTATTTGGATCTGTTTTAGTATTTACCATGTTTTACTGGTACTAACATGGCGGCCTTATATATTTTTTTATATATTATGGAGTGAAATAAATTAACTCAGTGTCCACTGAACTTTCCCTTGTTGGGAAGTTTGGGGTTAATTTCACTAGACGAGGCTTCAGGTTTTACTGTTTAATTTCTGGCCCGGAAATGGGCTGGCCAGAGAAAATCGATTTTTTTAAGGGATTGCTTGCTTCCTCTCACAATTACACATTTCACCACTTGTCTGAGGAAACTGAGTTGGGACAAGAAAAATACAACTCTCAGTCAATAAATCTATCACAATTTATGAACAAGTCTACAATGTACTGTATACAGATATCCCTGTAACAGACCGAGAAGACCCATAGGGTTGTGAGACGTCGAGGCCTCCACATTTTCTGCAGACAATCAGCTCATAGATGGCAGTGAGGTTGTTAGCCTCACGCGACGGCCGCCATTTACCCCCAGGAATATTCCTGGTACTCATTTCTGTTAGAGGCTGAGCCGACCGCAGGGCCATAGGGCAGCTGGAAGGATTAGGTCAACTAAAAAATGCAATGACCTCATCGCGAATCGAACCTTCCTGCCTGAAGCATAGTGCCCCTTCCATATTGTACGGCCCTCAGATATGTCCCATAGCCAAGAAAGGTTTGTCAAGCTTAATATCTGCCATGGCATATCTGACCATAATTGTGAATGCGTATATGTTACAGAATTTTCAAACTGTGAAGAGACAGTAGGGGACTATATTTGTATATACTGTATATTATTAAATTAAGAAATTCCAGAACCGGAAGGTGTTATATAAAGAGCTATCTCGTACATACGAGTAAATAGATGAGAAAATTAAGAGGTTGAGAAAGACTCTAGACAGGAGAGCTGTAGATATGTAGCCGGGTTGTAATTCTTAGGGATGGTCAGAATTTTGAAGTAGAATTTATTTTTTAGTTCACAATGAATATGAGCCGCTGTCTGAATCCCTGCAGTTACATTCTCCCAAAGAGGCTACTGTCAGTATGTCATGGCTGGAAAAGTACTGTAGCGGAACCTTTTATTGCATTTAGATGTAAACGATGTGTTCTGGAGAGCAACATTTAATCTGCGAACAGGACGTTCAGATTGTACCAACGGAGATTAATATTAACTCGAGCGAAGATAATTCTGATCGTCCAATACTTAACCTATGCACAAAATGTCCTGGCAGTACAACCTTGCAGGTTCCGCTTACCGCAGTTTGTTAATGCTGATTACTGAGAAACTGAACTAAAGTATCCATCACTTGGTCTCTTAAAAACCAGACGTTAAGAAACACTTATCACTACGACTGCTGATCACAGTTGCTGCGCGGTCTGAGGCATGAACTGTCTTCGCCCGCTCGAACACTGGGATCGTGGGTTCGAATACCACTCGAAGCATGGATATCTGTATTGTGTGTGTTGTTCTGTGTGTAGATAGCGGCATTCAGACGGGCTGATCCCCTGTCCAAGGATTCCTACCGACTGAAAAAGAGGCAGATTTAGAACAAGGGGCTGTAGAGCTATAAATATAAATATAGATATATATTACCACGACTGAAATTTTACCGGTACTTTAGTAGCTACCGCCTCCCATCTCGGTAGCTAGCTGAAAGTTGTACTGTAAACAAAATTATGACGCCTCAACATCGATATGCCAGATATCAACATATGTATGAGACAATAAGCCTCCAGCAACGACTTATCTAATATTCGATATTGTATGTTAAATACAAGGTGCGTAATGTCAGACGCTGTATGGCTGGAGACCAAGGAGGCTGGTGTAACGGTAACACTCAGAATATGGGAAGGGGAAACAGGCTGCCTGATTGAGACGTTTTGGGGCTCCCGTAGTGTATCCAGGCTGATGCCAGAATGACGCTTTTAGATAGGCCACTACCGTTTCTTTGTAATTCCTTCACGTACTCCCAATGCAGGACCTGTCGAACTTGTTAGCCTCGACATCGTCTGAAGCGGAGTGCTGCTTGTGTGTGGTTTGGGGTTTCCACGGCGGAAAGCATCAAGATTACCGTCTTCTGGAATATGGCGCCGTGTAGCCTGGTACATTGACGCCAACGTTTCGGTGGAACCTGCTACCTAAATTTTGTAAAATGAAAATGAAGGCTACATCACAGAAGATATAAATCTTCAGCTTCTAAACTAACCTGAGATTGAATGTACGTAAGCAAATGGAAGGCAAGAATTCGAGTTTAAAATTGAAAAATTTAGGCTTAACTCATTTCTCGGCATGAAGAATGTTCTAGCATGTAAACCAAATTCAGTTTTTGTATAGCTGCATGATTGACGGCTTCTCAAGAAGGGCTCAGCTCCATGAGTGAGTGAATAATTCTTAATATAATATAAGACGAAGATTTATACAGGGTTAGTATAAAAGAAATAGACGCTTTCAACGTTTTATAGCAACCAAAGTATTGGTGATATAGCGAAAATACTTACATTGAATTTAGTATATGTCTTTAAGTTTGTATGACTAAGTTACAAATGTTCTATATGTGAGACTTTTGTCAGACGGCAGATATCAATACGATAACCCGGTTCGTTCTGAACACCGCTCAACAGACCAGAGCATGGCACTGACAAAATGACCACCAAGAATTCCGATCTGACTCCCACTGATTTTTTTCTTGTGGGGATATATCAAAGGCAGAGGTTTTGTTCCTCCACTTCCTATAAGAGTAAACGATCTAAAGCAACGCATCACAACTGTTGCGTGTGTTGACGAGGACATGCTCCGGTGTGTTTGGAACAAATTGGATTATCGTATTGATATCTGTCGTGTACAAAAAGGCTCGCAAATAGAACATTTATAACTTAGTCATAAAAACTTAAACACATACTGAAAAACCATGTAAAGGCGCGTCCACATTACTCATGCTCCCCAAGCTTGTGCTCGTCTGGCATTTACTTGTGCCCGTAAATCTTCGTCCACACTACTTCAGTTACTCGCCAGACTTCGGCGCATGAGGATCCGTATATTTACTCGTAGTGTGTATAGGCTGTAGTCGTATTTTAATTTATTGACTATAGTTTTTAAACTAAAAATTAAAAATTTGCTTGTCTCGTGCTTGTCATATCATTGCTGGCGAGCATAGCGAGTCACACGAGCACGAGCACGAGTAATGTGGACGCGCCTTAAATATTTTGGCTATATCAACAATACCTCGGTTTCTATAAAACGTTGAACGTCTCTATTTCTTTTATACTAACTCTGTATATAGACACACAGTTATGGTCATGTATAATTCCATACCTCCTTACCGTTTGGCGAAATTCTGCGGTGTGTCGTCACGTGATTGACAAATTTGGAATTGCCGCGGGGAAGAAGGTTCCGAAACATCGTCTTGGATAGAAGTCTGGATGAACTTCGCAGTCGTTAACGCGAGGACCGAACAAAAATCCATAGCTGGGGACGTAGTAAGAGAATTAATCTCAAAGCTAATTACAGGATGCGAACATGTGAATAGGGTTGAATTGACTAGTCG